AAAAAAAAAAAAAAAAAAAAAAAGCTGAAGCTAATAATAACTGATAACAACTCAATCCATAGAAACATCAGAATCTTGGCTAAAATAAAGCAGAACTAAATGTAGTATAAGCTAATTGTTTTGCTAACTGTTACCTTTGCTGTTAGCTGTTAGCAGATTAGCAGAACTGTGCCCACCACTCCACTGGTCCGAGTGGAGCCCAAACCAAAGTGGATTTCTGCCTCTCAAGAACTGCAGCCTCAAACATTTCACAGCAGGTCAAGTTAATGTTGTTTTATTAACCTTTACACCTCCCTCACTTTTACATTACATGGTTATTCCAGCAGAAATGTTATTAAACTCCTGCCAGAAAAGCTTCAGGCTACACAACAAGCTGCTGCTTTCATTTGCAAATAAGCAAAGAATACTGAATAATCTTGTAATACAAAACACAGAGAGGTAAAAGAGATAAATAGATTTTTTGAAAATAAATTGATTTTAAAAAAAGAAATAATCCACTGAGGACCTCACTCAGTGGTGCTTTTTGCTGGTTAATCTATCAGCCTGTAATACTGTGTCTAATAATGAGGCAATAAGTATCTTACCTGTTACAGATAACCCTCAGTTTGTAATAAAAGAATTTAATTCAGGCCAGACGAGCTAGAAGCTAGTCCTAAAAATGCTCCAATATTTTTTTATTTAATTTAACCATCCACTGTTCTTTATACCATTGTTAATTTTGCATTACATACACAGTATGTTTACATAAATTTATGTGAATATAGTAATGCAAGCAGCAGCAGAAGATAGACGTTGCACTCTAGGGCAGCCTTGGAGTGCTTTTAACAGAAATATAATCACATTTCTGATAGAATAACTGGTGTAAAGATTATTTAACTAACATTAGCTTGACCTGTTATGAAATGTTTGACATTGTTCTTTTAGGATGGCAGCAAACGACTTTGTTAGTCCTGTAGGACTAGTTGTTAGTCCCATCTACAACAGGCAAGATATCAGCTGTTTGTAACCTTTCCACAGGACCCCACTTCTGAGCTATTACCTTCATATGAGTTTAAATATTAGGAGCATAGGTTAGGATAAAGATCTTTATAGTTTTCTAATTAAATTATTGTTTCAAATAAACAAAACATGACTTGTGTTTCATTTGCATCATAATTTAGATCCAAAAAATAGGGTTGGGTAACCTTATGCTTTTGTGCTTTGTAACTTATTAATGACTTTATGTGCCATGTTTGCCCTTTTTTGCATTGCTTTATAAAATAAATTAATCACTTTTTATCTTTCTGGTTACTTTTACCGCAGCGCTTGATTGTGCAGCTCAACGAGGAAACAAATTCTTCGTTAATCTTACATGATCCTCATGACCTCGTTGAGGAAAACCCCGTCGGTCAGCCTCGCGTATCGCTCTCGAGCGCTCTTGAAAACCGAGTTCACCTCCATGTACTGGCTGTAGAGCTGGACGCTGCTCTCCGTCTCCACCGTGTTCTCGAACAGCACAACCTGCAAGACACCAGGGAGGAAGCGGGAGATTGTTTTGTGTTTGAACTTAGAGGTGGATAAAGACCAGAAGAGTGGAAACGGGAGCAGAAAATAGGCAACGGAGGGAAGGAGATGCTAGGGTCCAAGTATTTTTACACAGGAAGCCACTCGAGTAGGCGCACCTGTCTGAACAGGTGGGATCTGTGCTTTCACGCTGGGAAGCACTTCACAGTGACAGGCAGCCAACCAGGGCCGGAGCCAAGGTCCCTCTCTTTCTGCTAAGACACGTGGAGCCAAGGCAAACTGGAATATACTGAGGGTTTTCTGCCATCTGCACTTGCTAAAAACTGCACAAACCTAACCTGAGTCAGCTGATGAGGTGAGGAAGAGACACTTCCTGTGACTGAGAGGTTACAGCAGATATCCAAAAACAGAGAAACAGAAACTCAATGAATACATGACCTGATAAAGGCCATTTAGCTACAAATAAACCTCAGAGGCTAAACTAACAGGTTGATGTAAATCAAGAGAAAACAGAGTTCTTCTTGATTGATGCCTGTCACCAAAGGCAAACCAGTGATAATGTTTTTGTCTGTATGTATGCAATGAATCACTAGATGTTCATGATGGCCATCACAAACCTCTGCTAACAAAAACATGGTGAGGTAGTAGCTTAGAGTGATCCACAACACCTCAGAAAAACACAAAAAAAGGACTACTTTACAGTTGTTGAGCTGAATTAAGCTGTAGCTGAGAGCCATCATATGAACTGATTGTACAGTTTGAACTCTTAGCCCTTAGCTATTGGCAGTGGTGGGCACAGTTGCTAATAGCGGCACTAGCTTTTCATTTAATAATAATAGTAATAATAATAATAATAATCCATTAGTCTTATATAGTGCTTTTCGAGACCCTCAAAGATGCTTTACAATTTTCATGGATCATTCATTCACACACACACACTTATGATAGTAAGCTACATTGTAGCCACAGCTACCCTGGGGCAGGCTGACGGAGGCAGGGCTGCCATACTGCGCCACCAGCCCCTCTGACCACCATAGAAGGTGGGTGAAATGTCTTGCCCAAGTACACAACAACTGAAACTGCTGGACTGGGGATTGAGCCGGCGACCTTCCGGTTCCAAGGAGTCTCCGCTGACCACTCTGTCACGGTTGCCCCGAGGCCGATTTAGCAGTTTAACGTTTTGCTAACTTTGGAAACCTTTAGCGGACCAATTATTTTCCACTAAATTTAGATGTGCTAACTTTAAAGTGCCTGTGACATCAACTTTTTTTGTCATAAATTTGAATTCATTTTTTGGAAAGACAACACTGACAACATAAAGCAAAACAAATGTCACGCCGCTGAGATGAACAGCTGTTGAGACATTTGCATGTAAAGCAACAGGAAGTGATGTCAAAGAGGAATGTCTGCATGTAAGAGCACTGATAAAATGTCTGACAACACCAAGATGTTTCTTTAGATCATTTTGAGTCACTATCAGAGAGATGAAGAAGAGTCGAAGTTCAAACAATGTTTCAATAAACAAAGTTCAGAGTGAGAGGGTTTTCTTTCTTAAAGATTTTCCCTTAGATGTCACTTCCTGTTTCATTTTGGCTGATCTAAATCCAAAAGAAAATATGCTGTTTATGTGACAAAATGGGTAAATCATGTGTATTGTGCAAAGTTTCTTAAATATAATGATTTCTTCGACTTTTTGTATTTGAAGGATTTGCACGTCACAGGCTCTTTAAGTCCACTAACAAAAACAACTATCTCCTCACACATGCAGCACTACACGTGAGTGTAGCATCTTTAGCATTTTCCGTTTGGTGGACATTGAAATGTTTTTAAACGAGCTTTTAGCTAATATTCTGACGTTTTTGTTTAATATCTATGTTTAAATGATAGACATTGAGCTAACAGTTATTTTTAAGCATTTGCCAAGCTAATTGTTTTAAATAACGGGTTGCTAATGGTTGGTTAGCTGTGCCCACCACTGGGTACATGATTACCAGTTCAAGATGGCCGCCACAGCCAACTGATCTCAAGCAAACATTGAGGTCAAGACTTTATCAACCCTTGTAGGTTTATTCAGACCCGTCATAGTCACCTTTCTTTACCTTTCAGGGTCTGTTAGCAAAATATCTCATGAACCACTGGATGGATTTTAATGAAACTTTTGTTACACAATTTCATGCATGTCTACAACTGATTAACTTAAACGGTTGACCTGAATCAAGATGGCCACTACAGCTGATCGCCTCAACAAACACAAAAAAGGCTATAAATCTGTCAGTTTTACAGATATTAGGCTTAAATTAAGTGTGGTAACTAAGAATCAGTCACTACCAGTGGTGGGCAGCACTAATCTAAAAATTAGTTCCACTTGCCCTAAAACACTAACTCAAATATTTAGGTCCCCTAATTCTAAAGCACTAAAGCACTGAAAGTTTTAGTGAAAGCTAATTCTAAAGCACTAAAATAAGCCAGTCAACCCATGAACATTCTTCAACAGACAAGTTGCTCTCTTCAGACTTATCGTTGACATACAGCTGTATTTGGGTTCATATATTATCAATATATCGACACCTGGTGGATCAGTGACACACATCTGAACAAAATGTGCGACAGCTTTCAGCCTCAGCTGTTAACGTTAATGTTTATCAATAACGTTCATAGACCTCAGTTAGTGCTTCTAAATTTAGCAAGTGCTAATCCACTAATAAATTTTAAAAACAGCAAAAGCTCTAAAGCACTAATCAGGAAATTAGTTCCCCTATTAGTGCTTTAGGGGAACTGTGCCCACCAGTGGTCACTACACACTCTGAACTACAACAGGTAGACAGAACAAAACAGCTGTAATTCTCATTAAAAGAGGATCTCAGACTAGAACTCTGGTATAAAAAGGCAGTGGGTGACATTCTGTCCTTTAACCCTCAAAGATGTTCAGCTTTCAATCCGACATTTAAAAAAAGAAGGATGCTGAAGGATCCAGATGTTCTGGATGACTGAGGATCAACCCCAAGAGCCCATCCCCATAAAAAGGCTTCACATGTGGAACAAATCCTCCAGAGACCCCATAAAGACAACACTCTCTTAAAACCACTGGAGATAAGTTTGCTTTATTTTAATTTAAATAAAAAGCAGCTCAAGGACACGGAAGTGTCGACAGAATAATAATAAAAAAAAGCCTGGCCATTAAGAGTCAAAGGAAGCTGACAAAAGGAGAAGTATAGTGTTGGGTGTTTTTAATGCACAAAAACAAGAAGCTTTTACTAGAATGTCGTCTAACTTTTCTGTTTAATTAGGAAGCAAACAGCTTTTTTGTTCATTAGAGCTATTTCTGAAATGAAATGTTAACCACTGTGGTGACACAAACACAAACCAAGGGTGGTATTTACAGTTTGTCATGTTTTCCGTTCAGCTCTGCTTCCGACAAGAATAAAAGCTTTCCTCTAATCTCAAGGTGACAAATAATAAACGACATACCCATTGAGCCAGCGCACTCCCCATGAACTCCTCTATCATCTCCTCAGTGTCAGAGGCCATGGCTGGGCTGCGAGGAGGCCGTGGATCACTGGTGAGGGGAGAGGTGGGGGGAAAGGACAACTAATTACAAAATCATCAGCAGTTCTTTGTTTTGTTATGAGTCCAGAGGGCTGCTGGGATCCATCTCGACTGAACTGAAGCAGACTTTTTTTTTTTTTGACAGATCTGCGGCCCTCCTCCCCTCCTTCCTCCACCTCTCTGCCTCTTCCTCTATGACTGGGTGTCAGTTGGTTTCATTGCAAAACCACACCGGAATTTCTCAGAAAAAAACCGTCTCTTTAAAGCACACACATCCCACACCCACATATACGTCGTCTCACAAGCTGTGAGGTTTCTAAACCAAAACATTCAGGAGAAAAGGCGGGTTTTGTTGTGATAATTTTTAATTTTGGATGCTGGTAATCATCACCTGCGCATAAAATAAACTTGCGGTGTTGAAATCTCGCATTGATATGTTTATTTTTCATTGTTTGTTGTTACACGTTGAGCTGGTAACTCTGAAAACGTTGTCACAATGCTTTATTTATCGCAACAAAAGTTCAAATGAGGTACTTTCTGTGAATATATATATATATATATATATATATATATATATATATAAGCTTTACAACAGCACCCTCTGGTGGTCGGAGGGAGAATTGCGTGTTTATGTCATGGTGAGCAAATTCAAATTGAGAAAATACATCATTGTTTCCGTGATTGAATCACTTGATCCACTGAGTTAGTGTTAACCCCCCTCAGCTAATAAACACTGTTATTTTAAGCACAATATACACCCTGACCTAATCGACTTTGTTTAACTATTCCTAGTTTTGAGGCTGACTTTTATTTAACGCCTCACTCCTATAACCATCAAAAGTATAACTTTTGATATGATTACAAAAAAATGTTAGTTTTATAACTTGTTGCCTCTGCGACCCGAATACAGATGAGCATTTGAGGACAGAGATAATTTTTTTCACAAGGTTTGTGTAAGGCCAACAAGAGGCTTTTCATTTACAACTTGCAGTAAGTTTGATTTCAGAGACAAATGAAAAGCTGTAAATAAAGTAAAGACTGATTATGACCTGTAGACTCCACACTGAAACCATTACCTGAAAAACAAAACAAAGATGGCTAGTGAAGCAGAAAAAGGTGTGGTGATAGAAGAGTTGTTGCTGTTGCACACTTGTCTAAAAATTTGTCATGAAAAGCAGCAACAATCCTGGTTTTGTCATCATTGGTTTGTGTTTTCCACTGGTTCTGCTAATCAGCTAATAGCGGAACTAATTTTTCGTTTAGAGATTAGAGTTATACTAACTTTGAAAACCGTTAGTGGACGATTAGCTAAATTAACAACTTTTAAGTCCACTAACAGTTAACAAACTATCATCAAATGTCAGTCCCACCAGCTGGAAGGAGGCAAACGCAGAGTGAGTTGTTTTAGCATTTAGCATTTGGCTTCTGGTAATTTTTACTCGTTTAGCATTAGCTCTCACTATTTACAATACATGTTTAGCAGTTTATCGTTAACAAAGTTGTATTTTTGATAGTGGATTATGAGTTAACATTTTTGTTAGCTGTGCCCACACCATTAGTGTTTTTGTTTCATCTTAGCTAACAGCTAACATCAACAGGTTTGTGTTTTAGTTCCAGTAGTGTCCTGATGCATCTCAGTAATCCAGGTAAAAAATCAAAAAGAAATAAAGTGTATAGGTCTTCTGGACGGGTTCTTCTCTAATGAAACGTTTCGTCTCTCCTCCAAGAGACTTCTTCAGTCTGAGAGTTTCAGGCAAAATTCAGGCTTTTAAGCCCTGCCTCCATGTGACTGATACTCACATCACATGGCTATCGTTGACACCTAATTAACACTTATTGTTAACAGGGGGTGGAGTGATACTGGCAATAGCAGCGCTGTAGGAGGGGGACAACTGAAAACGGAGGCCTCCACCTCTGTTTAATGATGGACGGTCTTTCTTCACAAAAATGGCTTCTTTTACTCCTCTCTCAAACCAACGTTCATCTCTATCAAGAATGAGAACATCCTCATCTCTGAAAGAGTGACCGCTGGCCTGTAAATGAGTGAAAACTGCAGAGTTCTGGCCATTAGATGTAGCTCGTCTGTGYTGGGACATTCTTTTGAACAGTGGCTGCTTTGTTTCCCCGATGTATAACTGGTCGCAGTCCTCCTGGCACTTAACAGCATATACAACATTGCTCTGTTTGTGCCGGGGCACCGGATCTTTGGGGTGAACCAGCCTTTGCCGTAATGTGTTTTGGGGTTTGAAAGCCACTGGGACATCATGTTTAGAAAATAAACGTCTCAGTTTCTCTGAAACACCCGCAACATACGGAATAACCACTGGTTTGGGTCTGGGTTTGGGGTCTTCATTTTCACCTGAAGGTTGCATGGAGTCCTGTCTGTCTGTCTTTTTTTTTTTTTTTGTTCCACTAGTCTTTTAGCTCGAAGGTGACACAGACTGACATCTTTTAGCAGTTAGCGTTTATTTGTTAGTGTTAGCTCCCACATTTTTTTACATGTTTAGTAGTTTAGCATTAGTGAAGCTATATTGTTAGCAGATTATGAGTTAGCAAAGCTAACTTTTTGTTAGCTGTGCCCTCCACTGATTCTTTGTTTGTTTCATCGGCTTCTCCTGCACACCTGATCCTTTGTTTGGTAATCACACCACATCTTGTCAAGTTAGATTTATATTCATGATTTAAAATGTTTATTTTGTAGTATTTAAGTATCTGAACTGGCTTTATGCTATATTTGTGTCCACTTCTCTGCTTTAAAGGGATATTTTATCAGCCCTTTCTTCCATTTGTGTTTCACTTTTTTTTTTTTTTGGTCAGGAATCAAACAAGTCATTCACTGAAATAATTGTGTGATAGAAATTTTATTTCAGAACAACGTGCACACATTGGATAAACTAGGAAAAATCCCTGTGATGTCTATTTTTTTTCCAAATAAAAAGCATTTTTAAATTAAAAAAAGAGATTCTCCTTCTATTAAACAATTGCTAAACGCTGCGGTGTGAACGGAATGTGTCTGCGTGCCAGTATCGCTTGTGCAGCAGTTCTGGGATTAACGACTGGATTATCAGATTGTTTCTGAGCTGCCAGAATAAATGCGATGACGGCTTCATATAGGGCATAACACACACACACACACACACACACACGTTTAATCCAACCCTCCCCAGATAACCCACTGTCACTTTACCTCACGTTATAATTACAAAAAGAAGCCGACACTACAAAGCAGTTAAAAACTTCTACCTTTAATAAAATAATTCACATACCATTTAAATCAGGTTCCTAAGCATTTCATAGCAGTTTAGCAGAAACTCTACAGCTGACAGGTGAATAACTCGGTGCTCATGGGATCAACATTAGAATCACGTTGAATATAACTGGAGCCAGAACTTGTTTTTGTGTGTTTAAACTGGATGTGCTCTTCTAGACAAACAGGAAACTACACACCTCCTAAGCAGATTCAGATGGAGTCCTGCGCAGAGGAGATGTTCAAATATTTTTATTTTTCACGTTGCTCTGTTTGTGGTCATGTTCAGAGGTGGGGGGACAGCAGCTGCTTCATCGTGAATAAAGCCTACTGTGTACCTGCGACCGCCCCGAGTCACACAACCAAAAATAAACAGAAGTATCAGACACACAGAACCCCCTGCATCCTTTCCTCCTCATCACATTTTGTATTTTTTTTCCTCTCTTCTCTTCTAGCTGGCTGGAGGCGAGGTGGCGGCCTTCTCCGTGTTGGCGTCAGCGGTTTTCTCCCCCTCTGCGGCCCCCGAGGCCCCTTCGTCGGCGGGATCAACCTGCACGAACTTGACCAAGTTGAGAACCTTGGCTCGGACATCCTGGTAGGTTTCCTTCACTCCCTTCTCCAGCAGGTAGCCCTCGCTTTCCTCCTCTGGGTTCTCCAGAGCCATGGCTCCCTCCACAGCCGTCTGCAGGTACCGCATGCTCAGCAGCACCGACATCTGGGAACCCCAAAAAAAGGGAAAACAACAATAAAAAAACAGAGTTGGCAGAAAGTATTTACCTCTAAATTATTCATCAAATGTCTGTTTATATACAGTAAAAAGCAAGAGGGTCTCCAACTCAAACAGTCAATCTTAAAAAGCAGATAAATGTTTATAACTCAGCCAACTTTACGAGTTTTGACCTAAAAACTGGTCTGGTGGTAGCTGAGAGTAATCCTCAACACATATTTGGAGCTCCAACAGATTGGTACAATACCTTTGTTTAAAATTAAGCCAATACCTATCAGGAGTAAACTCTGTCTGTTAACAAAATTTGTCATGAACCACTAGAGGAATATTAATAAAACTTACAGGAAATAATCACTGGATGCACTTTTAGAACTGATTAAATTTTGGAGATATGTTGATTTAAGATGGCCGCCACAGCCAGCTCTTTATAAAAAACACAAAATGTGCGCTAATTCAATCAGTTTTACAGAAATTGAGCCTAAATTTGGTGTGAGTATGGCCGAGACTCATTTATAACAAATAATGTAAATGCTAATAACTTCATGAAATCGCTGCTTAAAACTTCAGCGTTCACTGTTGGGGGTCAACCCTGTTTGTCTGTTAGCAAAAAATCTCATACACCACTTGATGGATTTTAATGAAACTTTCAGGAAGTCGTCGTTAGATTTTTGCATACAGGTGATTAAGTTTGGGAGTCAATTTGATTTAAGATGGCCGCCTCAGCTAATTGAGGTTAGGTAAGACAAAAATAGCTATAACTCTGTTGAATTTACAGATATTGTGCTACGTCTTGGCGTGGTAGTAGCTGAGAGTCAACCCCAACATATATTTTGAGAAGAAACAGATCACATGAAGTCTTAGTTTAAAACTTTCAAGAAATACTACTTTTATTATTGTTTAAAATGGAGTTTGGGTATCTTAAAGTGCCTGTGACATTAATTTTTTGTAATAAACATGAATGCGTTTTTGAAAAGATAACATTGATAACATATTGCAAAACAAATTTCACGCCCTTGAGATGAACAGTTAATGAGATATTTGCACATGAAGAAACAGGAAGTGATGTCAAAGGGGTGAACAGAGCGTTGTTAAAACAGCTGATAACAGACTGTAGAGAAGAATCTGATGCTTCTTTAGATTATTTTTGAGTTACTATCAAACACAAATGATGAAGAGTTAAAGTTTATATGATACTGTTTTAATAAGCAAAAACCAGAGAGTTTATTTTATTAATGAGTTCCCCTTTGATGTCACTTCCTGTTTCACTTTGACTGAGCCAAATCCAAAAGAAAATAGGCCAGGTATGTGACGAAATGGGTAAAATCATGTGTATAATGTCAAATTTCTTAAGTATAAAGATGTTTTCTATGAGTTTTTTTGCATTTGAAGGATATGCATGTCACAGGTACTTTAAAGTCATTGTCCAGAGTTATCTACAACAGGTAAGATATGAATTGTTCATAACTTTTCCCTGAACCCCAATTCAAAAAGAAACAGACTATTGCTTTCATTGAAATACTTCTGGATTTTTTTCACACAGCTCTTTACACAAAACAAGCCTCTTTAAATCTTCAAATCTAGACATCTGTTCGGTTTATTATCAAAGCAACACCTGCAGGGGGAAAAAAAAGGTCGTGACGTGATTATTTCATTCTTCCTGTCAAATATGTGTTAATACCAGTTCAAAACCAGTTTGGGTGATGTGAAAGGGATTGTAAACAGAAAAGGAGAGCTGTTTCTGTCCCAGTCAGGAGTATTGATTGTGTGTGATCAGCTGTGGATGATGCAGATGTGTGGTTTCCTGGGATTTCTCACAAAGATGACAAAGTGCGTTTGATTAAAAGGGAGCAATCGATGTGTCTGCGACGTTGTCTTTGTTGTCAGTCGTCATGGAAAAGTGGGTGTCAAGAAGACAACCGGCATTTTCTGTTTTGTTTGTGTTTTTGTTGCTAAGCGCTGCGTGTACCAGTCTTTATTTCTAGGTTTAACAGGAAGCCAGAACGGTTCTGCCCAAATTTCAGACAGATTAGATGAGTCATGGTTGGTACAGTCTGAGTCGCCCCACCTGAATCAAGATGACCGACAGCACGCCGGGCCCGGTTGAGTTCATCAGGCCCATGTAGTAGTCAGTCAACGCCTGCCTGCAGCCGCGGCCGTACAGGTTCAGCTCCTCAGACTGGTACTCGTAGTTGTAGTGGGCTCGGCTGTCCGTCAGGTGGTACTGCAGGCAGGGGCGGGGGGAGGCGGGGTTACAGCAGCTGAATGGGACGCCGTCCAGCAGGTAGCGGTTGTCCACGTTGCTCCGGACACGACTGAGAACGAGAGAAGTTTGAAAAACAGGTCGATAAAGTGTTTGGCTGTTTGTTTACGTTGAGTGCGTACCTGCATTTGTGGTCATCTGTAAAACTGCTGGAGTAAGGGACGACCTTTTTGTTGGTGTTTGTTTTCATACTTTTTGCGACGAGTTGCTTTAAAAGCTTCAGGTTCGTCTCAATCCAGTCTTAGTGAAAAGTGAGCTTTGGGTCAACACGACTGTAAACGTGCCACGACCTTTTCGTTTACTCATTGCTTTTTTTTTCTCCATCTTTGACCAACCCTTCTCTTCAGGCTTTGACCTTTCTATCCGTTGGTTTGAAAAAGTAAAAGGCCAGATCTATTTTTAATGCACTTCCTCCTCCACTCCTCACATCACACTGCCTCCGTCTCTCTAACATGTTGTTTGACTTTTTAGGAGCTGAAATCTGCTCAAACACACTTCAGCTGCTTCCTCCCCTCAAACAGCCCTCATCACTTTCCTCTCTTCCTGAATCACCTCTTTTCTCTCTCTTATTTATTTATTTTTTTAACTCTTATTCACTCACTCTTTGACTTCCTGAGAGGTGAAATCCAGATATCTGTTGCTGACCCACTGGACCTCAAACCAGTCCTTGAAGTTGTTGTTTCCACAGCAGCGAAACTCCATCTGCAGGCGATCGATGGTTTCTTTTTGAAAACAGCGGCCCGGGACGTCTGTGTCCTTGTAGAACCGGATCCCGTTTCTGAGACCCACCTAGCAGGATAAATGAAAAGCAATATAATTATTTGATTTTTTGTAAAAACGCTGAGTTTGGTCAAATTTCAATACGATCACCTTATAAAAGGCAGTTTACACGAGTGTCTTTTACAAATTTTACTCTGTCAGTGTTGTATAAAGTGTGAAGTGAAGTGATACTTGAGTAAAAGTGCATCTTATCATAAAAATATTTTGGTAAAAGTTTAAGTCCTCTCTAAGAATATTACTTGAGCAAAAGTCTTAAAGTATCTGATATTGTTTGTACTTAAGCATCAAAAGTAAATTTCTGACACAAAATCTACTTAAGTATTAAAAGTAAAAGTACTGAGTAAAAGTGAGTGGTTAGATTTTCCAAAATGACCTTTACTGGGAGCTGACTTCTCCAAATAACATTTTTTCTAACGGCGTGCAGCTGTGATGGCTTAAGCCAATATGGTGTCAGAATGGTTTATATTTATACTTCTCATTCAACCACAAATAAATTCACTCTATCCAGAAGACACAATTTATCAGGATAGTATTTTTTAAAATAACAACTCAGGATAAAATAGGAGTAACGACTTTCTACTTCTTACCTTTTTTAAAAATGTAAGGAGTAGAAAGTACAGATAATTGTGTGAGAATATAATGAGTAAAAGTAGCAGTACGCTGAAAAATAGTTACTCAAGTAAAGTACAGATAATCAAAAATTCTACTTCTGTACAGTAACAAAGTATTTGTACTTAGTTACTTTACAACTCTGCTTTCAGTTTACTTTTTATGTACTTATCAGAGGTAAACTAAAGTTTATGGTGCCTTGTTTAAAAAGAAAAATATACTAAATGTGTACTTGGTAAATAAATGTACACCAGTAGAAACATACTTTACTATAACTAGTGACATGTATTTGAGATATACTTCCTTAGTTGTGCCATTTAAAGGCAGGCAGTCGTGTAATCTCTTTGTCGGTCAGCAAAATAAAATATAATCTCATGGACGGATTGCTGAAACTCTCAGAAAGTCATCACCAATGACATCTACAACTGATTACCTTTAGGAATTAACAGAAATGGCTTTCTCAGTCAGTTTCACAGACGTTGATCTAAAACTTAGTATGATTGTAGCTGAAAGCCCAGCCTTAGATCATACTCTGAGCATCAGCGGTGTTTGCAGCTAACCAGTTAGCTTGGCTAACTCATAATCTGCTATCTAAAAGTATAGCTTCGTTAATGCTACACCACTAAACGTGTAAGAAAAAACATTAGTGGAAGCTAACTCTAAACAGGTAAACAACAAAAATTAACAGAAGCTAATCGCTAACAGCTAATCGCTAACGGCTAAGACGTCTGTCACTCAGACTGCGTCACGTCTTTGTTAGCTTGTCAGTTAGCTGTTAGCGGAGTTAAAGTTGGCAAAACCTAATTTAGCAGAAGTAAATTGGTCCACTAATCATTTTTAAAGTTAGTGATAAAGCTAATAAGCTAAAAAAAATGTTCCGCTGTTGGCTGATTAGCAGGAATAATTTTTTTACAAATTATGAATTAGGAATCTGTTGAGATACAATTCCAAATATAATTATTTTTTTGTTTTGTTCTGTATGTACGGTATAATAGTCTGTTTCTCTGATAAATTAACCCTTAGAAAGTTTTTAGTGTTCTGATGGTTCTAACAAACACTTTGGACCGTTGGGACACCGTCTGTTGAGTTCAGCGCCCTGACCTTCAGGGACTCCTCCAGGCGTCCCTGCAGGGCGTAGCTGAGCACCACCACCGCGAGGAGCAGGCAGCACAGCAAGGCCGCCACGACGAACCAGGCCAGCAAGAGAACCTTCCAGCGGGGGAAGCGGCTGGCGTCCATGGAGTCCTGACACACCCGGCTGGCGATCCAGTTGGTGCCGATGGAGGCCAGGCCCACCATGATCAGGATGTTGGGCACCACGTGGATCTCTGTGTTCTCCATCACCTCGACAAAAACAAAGAGCAACGTCAGAGATTATCTGGGCCACTTTAACAGCATTCACTTAATCTAATCTGTTCTGATAAACATCCCGGTGGCCAAAAGATCCAATTAGCCGCTGATATGCTGTCTGCTGCCTCCATGAAGCCTTCTGATTAATAACTCATCACCTCTGCTGCAGTAAAAGTCAATCATCCAGTTTATCTTGGGGTGATTCTTCACCTCTGGACGATTGTTGGGGCATAAACTGTTGCCAATTTGTTTAGAATAATCAGTTTTATTGATTAGCGAGTGAAACAAAAAGCAAACCAGCTACAAGCGGCGTGTTCGTCCACCTACTCAGGACGTTTTTCTAAACCCTTCAGCAAAATGTTTCTTTGAATCGACCGACTGAAGGTGAGTGTTCAGGGCCTGCAGACGGGTTTCAACCTATACTTGCCTAAATCCAACAAGGACCAGTTGAGCGCAGTGATTGGTTCGATCGAGCTAATACTATAAGCTACAACCTTCGCCTGCCGCTAACGTCATAGATCCATACAGTCTGATCAGGAATTTAAAAATAGTTTTAAACAAAGACTGGAGAAACAGCTGTGAGCCTAAAGACTGCTGAAAAAGCTAAAACAGCATCCATGTAGTTAAACATGTACAACACTGGCTAAAAGCTAAAGTGACACCAAGTAAAAGCTAAAAGCAGCTAAAGTGTAGATAGATAATAAAAGTAGCAAAATCCTTCCTAAAAGCAGCCAAAGGGTGGTTAAAAGCTAGAAGTAGCATACCTAGCTAAACGGTAGAAGTAATAATAGCAGATTAGGAGATGGATAATGGAGCAAAATGCTACATAAAAGTAGCTGAAGGGTAGTTGAAAGCTAAAAAATAGAATGATTCCAACTAAAATGCAAAAGTAGCAAAAAGCTAGCTAAATCAACACAATAGGAGCTAAATAATAAAAGTACCAAATGCTATCTAAAAGTAGCTAAAGGTTAGTTAAAAGCTAAATGTAGCAAAAACCCAGCTAAAGATGAAAGTAGCAAATGATCAACTAAAGTAGAAATTGTATAGATAGAAGGTTAAAGTGTCAAATGACTGGCTATAAAAGAAGCAAAAGGTTATCTAAAAGCTAACGAAGCAAAATAGGAGCTAGATAATAGACTTAGCAAAACGCTAAAGTGTAGCTAAAAGTAGCAAAAAGCCAGCTAAAAAGTAAAAGTAGCAGAAGGTCAGCTAAAGGTAGATAAAGAGTAAAAGTGTCAAAAGACTGACTAATATCTAAAAGAAGCAAAAGGCTAACAGCTGCAAGTAGCCAAACATTAGCTAAAAGCTAAAAGCGGCAAAAGAAGAAATTACTGTCAGCAAAATAATAATTTGAAGCAGATTTAGAAAGGAATAATATTTTTGATTAAATTTTGACGACTTATATGGTTAAAAGTTTGTGAATAAATTAAAATATTTTGAAAAACATAAAAGTTAAAACGTCCGTTAGTCCTGGCCTCCCACCTCCTGAATGAGCTGAGCGTTTTAATAATTGAATGCTTAAAATAACACAAATTTAGCAAAAGTAGTTAGATRTAAATAAATAAATAAATAAATAAATAAATAAATAAATAAATAAATAAATAAATAAAAATCAGGAAAATATTATGAATTGTGAATCAGCACAGTTAATATAAGAGTGAGATTGTTGATGTCCTGATGCATCTCAGTAATCCAGGTAGAAAAAAAATCAAAAAGAAAAAATAAGTAGGTCCTCTGGATGGACCATGGATGGACCGTTATTTTTCCTTTTTGAGATTGTTGATGTTTGTATTTCCTGGATTGATGGACTGGTTGACGTTGCGGCTCTACCTCGTCCCTACGGAGCAGCTCGGTCTTGAGGTAGACCCCCAGACAGAAGATGAAGGCCCCGCACGTCACTGCCAGCCAGGACAGCAGCCAAAGGCCCTGGGCCAGACGCACCCGCCTCTGCTGGTTGAACTTCATCTTCAGCAGCGCCATGCCCCACTAAGTGTAAAGACCAGGGAAAGAGTGAGAATGGACGAGCTCGGCTCAAGTTAATTATTGTAAAAAATAGAATAAAAAAAATCCAGATGTGGCGAGCTCACAGAAGCAGGTGACGTCAGTGTCGTGTGAACTGCGCAGCTGGAACGGTGCAGGCCTCGTTGTTCAGGGAGTTATAAGCTCATCTAAGTTGTCCCAGGAGGAGAGGATAAGCAGGTAGAACCTTGAGTTGACTTCAGAGGATAATCCAAATTCTTCCACTTGGCTTCTGAAATTGTTCCCCAAAAATGATTCTTATTATTCCAGATCAGTGCAGCAGCACCATGGGAAATGTAAAGGAGAGCAAAAATGATGATTAATGAAATATAAAGAAAAAAAAAGATAATCGTTTTCCTAGATTTGACTGGTTATCTCTTTAAAACCAGTCGGTCACACTGATGTTGCTGAAAATGTCTTCCTGTTTGGATGTGGTCTTCTGATGGCACCCCTCTGGGTCTCTTGCGTGCCCGGCGCCCCCCTAAACCGCTGTACCCATGGTTGGAGGACAAAGAGACTGGACAAAGTTGTGAGTTTGGAAGCGTAATCCTCCAACAGAGTCCCTGGGATCCTATTAAAGCTCCGGGGCCAATTGGAAAGCAGGCCACTGTTTGATCAGCAAACTTCTTCTGATGGACAGGTCTTAGAGGCGGGCCTTCGGACCTCACCTGAACACTGTCGGCACTGTTGATTCACTAACAGGCTAATTAGAAGGGAACGTTAAAAACATTTAAAACACTTTTGTTGTTTCTTGTTAAAATGCAAGCAAATGCTACAAATAGGACTTACTAATTTCTCCAGTTTACTTCAAACTTGAACTAATTACTTAATGATTAGACATAAAACTCTCTGTTTTTCTAACTGAAACAAGACATTAACCGCTATTTCTCTGAAAACGTAGCGTGAACAATGAGAGCTGAATGAGTGTTGAAATTAGAGTTCAATTTAAAAAAAATTAAGTAAAGACAAAAGGAGCAAAGCACTAGCTAAAACTGAACAGAAACCTAACTAAAAGGACCAAAAGCTAGAAGGTAAAACTAGGAAAAGTTTAGTTAAAAGTAGAAAACGCTAGCTAGAAAGTAAAAGTAGCAAAAGGTTAGCTAACAAAAAGCAGCAAAATGCTAGCTGGAAGGTAAAACTAATAATAGCTTGGCTGAAAGTAGCAAAAACGTCAAGCTAGCAGGTTGAACTAGCAAAGTTAGCTAAAAGTAGTCTAGCTAAAAGCCAATAACACCAACAGCTTAGTTAAAAGTAGTAAATATTGGTAAAAGGCTAGAAGTAACAAAACTAGTAGGAAAGACAAAAGTAGCAAAAGCTTGGCTAAAAGAAGCAAAAGATTAGCTCAAGGCCAAATGTAACATAAAACCTTAAAGTATCAGAAGAAGACGTATGTTTGCTGAAGCAGAAAGAGAACAGTGCTTTTAAATGAATTAAAGAGATTTTAGTGTGGGTTTTTTGGAAGAACCTGAAGCCACACAATCCATCTCCTCAATATTTTGATACATGAACATTTAAAGCAATGTTTTTCCAACCCTGGACCTCAAGGCAGACTGCCCTGCATGTTTTAGAGGTCTTCCTGTTTTGACACACCTGATTCAGATGATTACAGTTCATGCTAATCAGTTACCAAAGGAAACAACATGCAGGGCAGTGTGCCTTGAGGACCAGTGTTGAAAACCACTGAGTACGCAGAAGTAGTTAGATCATGTAAAGAAAAAATAAAGACGATACTCGAAAAAACCTAATTCTTAAATAAATAATGTTCCTACAAAAACCTGAGGCAGTGTGTTTGTTAGAGAAAGTGACTTCAGGTACAGGGAATTCTGCTTGCAGTGGATTATGAACGGTGCAGAGAGGTTAGCTGGGTTAGACCAAGAGGATTAAACTGTTATTATAATTATTTATGACAGCTTGAATCAGAGCCCTCGTTAGGCTGAAGCTCTGACGATGCAGCTCTGATAAACAGAACGGTTCCACCGTGGAAATCAGACGTGGCTGGTAGATTTACTCATGAAGATGTTTCATGTTGCAGAAAAGTCAAACTTTGAGAAGTGATTCTGAGGCAGAAATCATCCCTGAAAGGGCTCAGAATGATGACAGAGTTCAATAAAACTGTTCAGTTTGGAGATTAAACCTGTCAACAAATTTAATTTACAGGTTAGCATGGAAAGATTAAACATAAACAAGGTCCAACCTGTTCAAATACGTAGGTAGGTAGGTAGGTAGGTAGGTAGGTAGGTAGGTAGGTAGGTAGGTAGGTAGGTAGGTAGGTAGCTAAGTAGGTAGGTAGGTAGCTAAGTAGGTAGGTAGGTAGGTAGGTAGGTAGGTAGGTAGGTAGGTAGGTAGGTAGGTAGGTAGGTAGGTAGGTAGGTAGGTAGG